ATTAATTTGAAAAATATTATCTTCATATAAATAATTTATAAATTTTTATTTAAATTAAAAATAAATTATGATTAATTCATTAAATTAAACAACATCTTGATACTGTAACTACTTAAGAAATTGATGTTGGATTTTATTGTTGTAAGATTTGAGTTTAAGTTTTGTTATTTTTCTCCACAGCATCTATAAATATTTCTCTTATTTTTTTATCATATGTTTCTATTATAGTTGATGAGTAATCTTCTAAATATTTTAAAATGACTAAAGCATCATTGGTACCATTTTTCCAATACATATTATTTTCATCTTCTAATATTTCTGATTTGCTCAATTTATTTACAAATTCCTCAAATTATTTATTATTTTTGCCTTCTAAATCTAATTACTGTTTCTTTGCAAGTTCAATTGCTGCTATTTTTACTTCATTTTCTAAGTCTACAGGGCTAATTATATTAAAACATTTTAAGATATTAGTTAATTTATGAAGTCTGACCTTAAATTTATTTTCTTTTTTTTATTCAATTGCATAATCAAGTGCTTCATTTATAAGGTCAAATGCTTCTCCACCTATTGGTATAACACCTACAACCTTTGATCCTACATTAAAAACTTTTTACACTATATCTAGTACTTTTTCTGATTTGCTTTCTATCATAGCATCTCTGTTCATTTAATATAATTCTGAAGATATTTGTTGCATTGCAGACAAGTAATAATATAATTTCCAAAATAATGCTTTATAGTAAATAAATTAATGTTTGTTTTCAGCTTTTTGAAGTATTATCATAGATTCTTATATTTGATACCCATCCTATTATTTTAATTTTTAATTATCTTCTTCTAAATGATTTATTCTATCATTTTATTCATTTATTATTTAATGTAATTAAGCTACTTTTTGCTACAATTATTTCAAGTCTTCTTATGCCAATAATAAGAAATTTAACTATTATTGATTTTCTTCTTGAATTGTTGATTCTGTAAATGGTTTCAATTATTTTGTAAGTTTTCTCTCAATATTACTTATGTTCTCTTATACTTCAAATACACTTTATTAATCTGAATCAAATTTAGTTGTTATTGTTGAAAGCTATTATCTTAATTAAGCAATATCATTTTAAATTTCTAAAAGAACTTTGATTTTTTCTTTTATGAATAAAATATTTCCTTCTGATAAACTCCAATTTATTTGCTTTTGTGGAGTAATTAAATCTAAAGAAGCAAGTGCTTGTTTATAATAATCCGCTGAAAGAATGTAATTTTATTCTGAATAATAAAGATCTCCTAAATTGGCTAGTATAAGTGGATTATCAGATTAAAAATTTAATGCTTAAAGATAATCAGAAACTGCTAAGTCATTTTAATTATTTTCTTTATATAGGTTTCCTAATGAATATAATACAAAAATGATTACCTCTGTTATTATAAACGTTAGAGTCAGTAGAATCCAATTCTATTGCTTTGTTATAATCCAAAAGTGCTTATTATTTATTTCCGATCTGTTTATAAAGGGCACCTATTCAAATTTTCAAATTGATTACCTCTAGTATTATAAGAGTTAGCATCATTAGGATCTAATTAAATAGCTTTATTATAATCTAATAAGGCTTAGTCTATTTTTCCAAGTTCTTTTTATAGAATTCCTCTCAATAAAATATAATAATTACCTCTGTTGCAATAAGATTTTGCATCATTAGGATCTAATTCAATAGCTTTGTTATAATCGAAGAGAGCCTACTCTTTATTTCCCATTTCATCAGAAAGAACTCCTTTTCAATATTAGTTATTAATAACCTCTGTTAATATATGCTGAACAACAATTTTCGTCTACTTCTATTGCCTTATTATAGTATTATAATGCTTCGTCTTAATTTCCCATTGCAGCTTTAATACTTCCTAAATATATTTAAAGTTTCTTTACCTATTCTCATATATGGCATTGCATATTTAGGATTAATCTTTATTGCATTTTCACAATCTGTCAATGCTTCTATTAACATTCTCTTTCTAAAAAATACAGTTGCTAATAATAAATTAAATCATATTTTACCTCTATAATAAAGAATTTCTTCATTTTAAGGTTCTAATTGAACAGCCTAATTTAAATCCTCTAAAGCTTGATCATACAGATAATTTTTTAAAAATAATTATCCTAAAGTAATTATGATTACAATAACCTCTTAGTGCTAAAGCTTTTGAATTTTAAGGATAGAGAATCAAAGCATCATTAATCAATTTTAAGGCCTCCTGAATCTTTTAATCTTTAAGTTTAACCTAATCTATAAATTCAAATAATTTACTTAACTAGCCGAATACAATTCTTCAGCTTGAAGATAGTTTTAGTTTTATTCTTATTAATATTTTGATTCTTGAAATGACATATTTTACATATATGAATAATTTGAATGAGAATATGAAATGATTTTTAATAATATGGCTTAATTATTACTGATTACATTCGAACAATAGAAAATATAAATAAATATAATTCTGTTATTAAACAACTTGAATAAATTATAACTATAAATTAAAATATAAA